TGAGAGGGAAGATTTATTTTGTCTCAACTGAAAAATGGATAGAGCATATGTGGAACATTTACACAATGGAGTACTACTCAGCAGGAAAAAATGGAATCTTGAAATTCACAGGTAAATGGATGAAAGTAGAAGAAACCATTCTGAGCAAGGTAACCCAATCACAAAAAGACAAAGATGGTATGTACTCACTCATATGCGGATTTTAGACAGAGTAAAGGATTACCAGCCTACAATCCACACTGCCAGAGAAGCTAGGAAATAAGGAGGACCCTTAGAGAGACATACATGGTCCCCTGGAGAAGGGGAAAGGGACAGAGAGATGGGGGTGGGGGGAGTGGGGAGATGGAGGGATTTCGGCAGGTAACTTAAGGAAGTCCACAGAAATAATGCTGTTCAGTGGAGGTGTTTCCACACAGGAACAGAGTGCAGGCCAGAACTTGTGGGCTCACAACCACCTGTAATTCCAGTTCCAGAGGGCACAACTTCCTGTAACTCAATTTCCAGGATATTTGGCAGTCTCTCCTGGCCCCTTAGGCATCCACACACATGTGGCATACAAACACACAGACACATGAAGGTAAAAATGAATTTTAAAACAATAGTAACAACCACACCACTCCCTATGGGCCAAGCACTCAAACACATGAGTCCATGGGAGTCACACCTATTCAAACCACCACAGTTATCATTCCATGCAATTAGAAATTTCATAAAATTAGCAAAAAACCTAATTTCATCTACCTAAATAAATTTTTGGTTAGGAGAAAAAAGGTGCAAATGGCAAGCTTTAGAACAAAATTTGCACTATATGGCCAGAAATAATTGTAGAGGTTTGTTTCAAATATTAATGTAAGCTTTAAAAATAAATTTAAGCCAGCTGTGGTGTCCCACACCTTTGAATCCAGCATTTGGGAAGCAGAGGCAGGCAGATCTCTGAGTTCAAGGCCATTCTACATAGTGAGTTCCAGGATATCCAGGGCTACACAGAGCAACTCTGTCTTGAAACATCAAAAATAAATAAATAATTTTTTTTACTCTTAAAAAGTAAAAATTAAAGTACAAACTCATAAACTTCTCATTTTCATTACTCTCTTTCCATCTTATCCTTTTATCTTCATTGGAAACTTTAAAAAGTTATCTTTTAGTTTATCATTTTTTGCACAACTAAGAAAGCAAAGACATTATTTTTCTATTCCTTTCTGTACAAAACCTTGCCTGTCAGGTGCTTTCCCATTAACTAATACACTGATAATCCACTGGTTTCCATTAAAAATCATAGTTATCAGAAATGTGTGTTGAACTTGTCGATATTTAATCAGCATCTATACAATGATCATTTCATCCTTAAAGCTCATCGTATGTTATCCAATTACCAAAATAGAATTTTATCTAGGTTTTTGACTGATTTCTTCATCCCAATTCATAAGCAATTGTAAATATTTCAAAATGTCACTTACAGACTTAGAGTCTTTCCATCCAGCTACAATTGCATGTCCTTCTCTTTGCTATTATTTATGTAATGTTTCAGAGATTGAGGAATATACTAAAAAGACCATTGCCTAACTTATTTTCATAGAACAGATTTTTTTTCAAGACTGGGTTCCTCTGTGTGGTCCTGGCCATTCTGGAACTCTTTATGTAGACCAGGCTGGCCTCAAACCTGGAGATCCACCTGCATGGGCCTCTCAAGTGTTGGGATTAAAGGTGTGCACCACCACCACCCAGCTCATAGAACAGAGTTTTCATGAATTTATTTGTTTCTTTCATTCTTTGAACTTCATGCTTAACTTGAATTTTATTTATTTCCTCATCATTGTCCTTACATAACTAGAAATATTAAGATACCAAGCCAAGTAAAAGTATCTAAGAATTTGCTCCTTTATATATCTAACACCTCAGTGTGGTGATAAACAATGTTCAAGGTAGGGATGAGGAATATTTCTGGTATTGACTGAGATGACTATAAGGAGTCACTGTGATTAGACAAGCCTTACTCATCTCTCTGGTCATTGAGTTCATGAAAACTATTTAGTGAAAGATTTAGCTGCCACTAGCCAAACATCTGTAATCTCAGTTCTTTATGAGGCAGAGGCAGATGTTCAAGGCCAGACTGGTTGACGGCCTGGCTAGGGCAATTTAGTGAAACCTTGTTTAAGACATTTTTAAAATGGAGAAGAAATGTAGTTCAGTGGAAGAGTACTTGCTTAGTAGGAGGCCCTAAATTCAATCCTTAGTACAGTAAATGAAGCCTGCTACGGACTTCTTGTGTTTGAGTGTTTGCTGTGTGTGTGTGTGTGTGTGTGTGTGTGTGTGTGTGTGTGTGTGTGTGTGTACGCCAGGGGCTCATGGAGGCCGGGAGAGAGAGAGTTGGGTCCCCTGGAACTGCAGTTACAGATGTGGGTTCTCTGCAGGAGCAGCAAGTGCTCTTAACTGCTGAGCCATCTCTCCAGCCCTGGAACATGTTTTTAATATTATCTGATAGTAAGACTTCTTCGACATTCAAATATAAAGGTTGGAGTGTGGCATAAAGTATCACTGCAGCATGCCCAGTGAGATGTTCTCTTTATGTTGTTTTTTTTTCCAGGTGTTTTTTTCTTTGTTCACCATCTCTATCTTTTTAGCCAACACTCCTCTCTGCTTGTCAAACACCATTTCTACCTGCTCCTTTCAGCTCCTCTTGTGTGGGAGATGATATGTACAAACTCTGACTGTTTCCATGACCTTCCAATTCTAATTTTCCTCTTGCGGTCAAAATAAAGTGTACTAGTCTGGATTAACAGCCAGGGAATCAGTTCAAATGTCATTTCCCATTCATGGAATCTTTGACCACAAGAGGACAGCTCAGGTGAATGGTCAGAGAAACAGAAAGTGTCATCCTCAAAATAGTGCAGTCTCACTCACTGTGAAAAAGAGTTCATCAGTCACTACACCCATTCTTACTGCTTGGTTTCCTTTCTTAAGGTCTAACTATACCATCATGTCTTAGAACAGTGGTTCTCAACCTGTGTGTAGAGAAACCCATAGGGATTGAATGTCAGATACCTTGCACATCACATATTTACATTGCAACTCATAACAGTAGAAAAATTACAGTTAGGGAGTGGCAATGGAATAATTTTATGGTCATGGATCACCACATGAGGAACTGTATGTAGTAAAGGGTCATGGCATTAGGAGGGCTGAGAACCTGTCTTGGAGTCTTTCTGGCCATCACCTCCATATCTGATCATTGATTTGCCAGTGTTTTATGGAACTTTTCTGTTCCCTTTAGGCCCAATCAACTCTTTTATTAGTTCATTGGCAGAAAAATTTTGCACATTTTTATACAGAGCTTTGGCTCTGAAAGGAGTATTTATTATACCCATAGTTTAACCTGAAGGGAAACCAGAAAAAAGTAAACTAGAATAAGAAAATAACTTTCAATTTACAGGGATATTAACAGATGGAATATGGTTAGAAAATTTTCCTGAAATAAAATAACTACACTGCTCTTCAATCCTCACCATCAATGTGGTCTGGTACAATACCAAATTAAATCCATTAAAAATATCCTGAATTCTTGCAGACAAATATTTTTCTTAAAATTAAGTTAAAGGAAAAACTCTATTCAAGGCAATAAATATTGGAGTACTTCCTATTTGTGAGGCACCATAGAGAGCTCTGGAAATGGGCAAAATCTCTGAGGTTATTTATTGTCCTTTTGGATTTCATAGTTGTTACAAGGACAGAAATCCAGTGTCTGTAAAAGAACTACACTTGTGTTTTACTTACATGAAAACCCTGAGAGGCTCAATATCATTAAAAAACCTCATGTATCAATGCAACAGATATTTACTGTGTGCTTATTAATATATATATATATATATATATATATATATG